TGTGGAGACAACTGGGCACCCCAAAGGTAGCTGTTCGAAGTTCCATTTTCATGGTTTCCTTGAAGCAGAGCTGATCTGGTGGCTGTTGTAATGCAGCGGTTGATCTTAATTAACCACTTCCAGGTCTTGCATCTCCAAATGCACTCCTAGTCTCCTGCCTGCTACAGCATTTTTTAGGAGCCTGTCTGTGTTGCCAAGAAGGTTCTATGAAAAAAAGACTATGAATGCATACTGCCACAATCTCACAGCTGAGTAAAAGTGAGTCAAATGTATTTCCAGTGTAAACTTACTGGAAATAGTGAACAATGAAAGAATTGATACTGATATTTAAGTCATTGATTCTAATAGGATGAAGACAAGTGATTAACAAAAAGTTTATCTTTTTGTTGCACGGATAATTTCTTGCTTTGTTTTAAATATACTGACAAGCACAAGGTACCTAATTAAGGAGGTTTCATAGGGATCCCAGGTAACAGCTGATGATCTGATGAGATTATCACTGGGGAGTTTAGCAATATCTGAAGCTGAAATGTTAGCATTCGGTTCATGGAAATGGCTTATGTTATCCAACACAGCTGATGATTACTCTGTTTAAGTAATAGAATTCTCATAAGAATTTGTGCTGCTCAAAAAGTAATGTAATTTTTCCAGGACTTCGATAATGATCAGGAAGTTAATGTAAAACTGTGATCTCATGCCATTTGGAAAGTTTGTGGAATGATCTGGTGGACAAAGCTTGCTAGGGTTGTAACTATACATTATAAAAGAAAAAAAATGTTAAGTCATTGGTCTGTGCCAGCAGCAGTGGAACTAGAGAAGACAATAGATTTTATTCCATAATTACCTGAGATTAAAATGGGTGGTGTCCCAAAGAGAAATAAACAAGTGTTGCTTTTTGTGAAGAAAATCAATCATAGGATCTTGGAATGGTTTGGGTTGGAAGGGACCTTAAAGAAGATCTAGTACCACCCATCTGCCATGAACCGGGACACCTTCCACTAGAGGTCAGCCTAAATACTGGCACTAGTTGCTGCCTACCACTATGGATGGCTATGTTGGAGAGCTGGTTGGAAAACTAATTTATTCCTGTAAAAACACATTGCTTTTATAGCAATCTTTCTTTAAGCTTGAGATTTTAATCAGAAAAATTGAAAATTATCGATTTCCATCTACCAGAGAATTTCAGATGGAAGGCTGGCTTCTGGTCAAGTTTTTTTTCCCAAGTGCAAACACACAAATGCTTGCAGAAGTAGCCATATGTACTGGTGTGGACGTTGTTTCCTCTACAGTAGAAATAAATCAATTTTTGCAATACATTCTGTTTTATTTATTGGTTCTGCAACATTCTGTACTGGATGTATGGGCTACCTAGCTGCTAGCTTCTTATTACAGTTGTGCGTTTCTAAGCTTTTGTTCTAAGTTTCTGTTCCAGTCATAAGTTTATAAGGTGCTTGGAGGGCTTGTGATCCCAGTTGCTCTCAGATCTTCTCTGCTCTTTGCCGATGAGCTGAAAATTAGTAATAGTGTTTGTGGTGGTCAGCGAAAGCAATAGCAGCAGTTGCACTGAATGTCAAAGAAGAAGCTGTAAAGGCTGAGGAAAGTAGATGCAAATCATCAAGAGGGCGTGCAAGACTTTGAAGTAACTCAATGTTTTTGGCTGGGGTCAGAGAACAACAATCACAGATTCAATCCACCCCTCATATGTGAAGTTGTTGAACTCGTACTATTTACACTAGTAGAGTTGTTCCAGGACCCTGGGAAAGGTAATGCTCCCTGGGTGTTTTGTAGGAATATTTTTTGGACCTACATACGCACATTATTAGTGTTCGTCATCTAACATGTAGCACTTACTGGGCTCAACTGTGACTGGGGAAGTTGAGTTGCCAGCAGGAGGTCAGAGAAAATGGTCTGTTGGTTCCTTCTTGCCTTCACTTCTCTGAATAAAGGTCCTACATGTCCCTGTTAATGCCCACAAACCTGTGCATATTTGTACTGAGCGAAGCATGGACCTACAGGAAGCTGTGCGATTAGAGTTAAAGCGTGCCTTCCTGCAGACAGTCCTGTCTTTAAAAGGTGAAAGCACAGGTGTTTCAGAATTTGTTGGGATATCTTGTATAGCTCAGGCAGGCTGGTGTCGTGTTATTAGAAAGAAGCATCGTTTGGGAATGTGCTAGTTTTTGCATGTCACTATTTAAGACACAGATATATGCATCTCTCTGAATAGCCAGTAACTTTGCGGCTTAGACTTTTGGCTGAGAAGTGAAAGACATATGTTACAGGATCTAGTTAAATTAAGCAGCATGGAGATTTAAACTTTGTCTTTAAACTGAAGTCTTTGATGCTGGGGCATCAGGCTGTTCCTTAGAGTGCATATGACACGTGGTCTTTCCTGAGAAGGTCTCATTTTTATCCCCGTGTAAAATGGGAGAAGCTTTGTAGGATGAGAAAACTCTTTCCTGTGGTGTTAAACTAAGGATTTACTTCCAATAGCTTCCCTCCTTTAAGAAGGTGTCATTCACCTTTTCTTGCTTAGATACCATAGACTAATTCTTGTCTCTTCTCTGGGTCTGTAGCTGAACAGAGTAGTTCATCACTAAGGGAAAACAAGTCTGTTTATAACTGTTTCTCTTCATTTTATCTTGGCTTGTCAGTGTCTGGCAGATTCTCCATCCTTTATGCCATTCCTCTTCAGCTCACTAACAGAGCCGTCATTAGCTCTGTATATAGTGCAGGCTCAAGGATTTCGCTACTTCTCTGAAGTTTTGTTCATTCTTTTATGGGTTTTCTTTGAACTTTGTTTTCTTTATAGGTGAAAAAGGCTGGGTTCTGTTATGAATCTGGTCTTTGCTTTGTGTGTTCTTAACACTGGTAATTACTACGGCACTGGACTGACATGAAGTGGTACTGTAACTGTGCCTTGCATTTCTGTTTGGAAAAGCATTTATGATGTTGGCATGTGTATCTCATTTTAAGTTTACTTGTACTGTTTAGAACAATCTGAAGAGATTTATAATTGCTTGTTTTGCAGTACAGCCCTAAAGAATTAAGTAAAGGCTTTATAACTAATCTCTATTTTCCTCTAGCCAAATAAATGCTGTCATGTTTTCATATATCAGCTTATTTAGGGTCAAAGTTTAACTCCTCTCTGCATTTGATAGGCATATATAAGTGCTGCATCTGAGTTGTTTGCAGGGGAATTTGGCATTTTGATTTTTAAATGCGGTGCCAAACGTGGAGAGAACAGCGCTGCTTGATTAGAATGGAGCCCATGCAGCGACGGGAGGTATATTTTCAGCAAAATTACTATGAGAAGGGACAACAACTTAGGAAACCAATAGCAATTAAAATTGTAACTGAGTTGATACTGGAGGTGGATAACTGCTAGCTTTAGATATTTGCTAGCTAGGCAGAAACTCAGAAAGTCGTATTTTCTGAGAACAGAGATACGGAGGAAAGATGGCTTATGTTTAAACACCAAGACTCAGAAATTTGACTTCAGTCCCTTTCCTGGCTGCCTCAGAAGATGCCTCTGTAGTCTTGGGGACGACTACAAACCTTTTAACATATGTTTATGCTGCATCTAACTATCTGGAGTCCTCATTTTAGTGAGGCTTCATGAAATTCTAGCCAACCAACTAATATTTACTCATTAGTCTCTACCAGAAAATAAACAAGTGGTCTTTGGAAAAATTAAACTGAGTCATGTTTATATTGAATAGGGATTCTATGTCCTGGTCAGTGATGCATGAAAAGTGAGGCCTTCAGAAATGATGGCTAAATCAGACTTGATACTCAGATCAGGCATGGGATCATTTAAGTAGTTTAAAAAAAGGTTCCAAGGAGGGACAAGGGAGAAGGGGAGGCAATGCTTACTAGGAAGCCTATGAGCTATTTTCCCAAGATCTTAGTAGCATAACTCAGGAAAGAGGAAGGGCCTGACAGAAGTAGAGAGTGCCCTGCTTAAGTAGAACTTTATAATATCATTGTTATATCAGCCAAATGCAGGCACACTTTTAATGAAGGGGAAAAGAAAAAGGAAAAGTATTTATTTATCTATTTATTCGTTTTCAGATAAATTATCCACAAACAATCTTATGAGAGAAATAATAGGAAGAAGGCCAGAGAGGCATGCCAGAGAAGGAAGTTTGAGAGTCCAGGGGGTTCAGAGAAGACTGCAGTGGGACTGCCTCTGAGAGAAAGCGTTTACTTCACTAATTCTTAACGGGTTCACCTTCTGGGATGCTGACCTTGGGCTGCTGCCAGGACATTCGTCTTGGACTTGGCCTCTAGGCTGGTGAGTTAGTGATGGAATGACACATGTCTCTGTGTCTTCAGATTGCTCAGCGTGAGGGGTTTTGGTCTCTGATCATTGTATTTTTCCTGCCCCAGTGATGTACCGTTAAAGCACAAATCTGGGAGCTGGAAGGCTTGGCCTCTGTTTTCTGAGGCCGTCGCAGCCTATTTGTGAATTTGGGCAAAGCAAAGAAGACGGTCATGGGTTTTTCAAATGGCTTAGGGATTTCTTAATTCTGCTGTCACTGGATGAAATAGGACTTTGACTTTGACTTTGCTGGGAGCAAGGACCTTGTATTTCAGACTGTGTGTGGAGTAGGTGGGTTTCTGTAACTATTTGGATTAAAAAAATGTGTGCCTGCTGCAGTGCAGGGAATTGATGCAACTTTTGCAGATGCTATTTCGTGGGTGGGGAAGCACAGTTTAACTAAAAATGTAATGTAGGTCACATTCAGGCCCTAATTATATCTGTTCAAATCCCTATTAATGTTGCTGGTGTGTTTATCCAGAGTTCGTTGTTACACAAATTCCTGCTACTTCACAGTAACTCTGTATACTTTTGTGCAGGGGAATGGTGAAATAGTTTGGGCAGGGGAATGGTGAAATGGAAACTAGTTTGGTCCTAGAATATATCCCAGACTAAGTAAACAGCATTGCAAGGGGTTAGCTTTGCAGTACTGCTTTTCCACTGTAGCATTACAAGAAGATACTATTTATAGTTTGCACCCAGTTTGTGCTGTCTGAAACTAGGAAAAGTTTCCACTTTGGAAAGGTTGGAGTTTCTGTTTGGAAAATATAAAGGTATTTTTAAGTTCCTTATAGAAACTTATTTTTTTATTTTGACAGAAATAGAAAGTGTTTCTCTCTGATTTTGTGGAATAATGGACCAACATAGAGTTTTCCAGAATAACCCATCTTGTCCCGTCCTGTGGATTAATTTCACTTTGGACTGTTGGCAAACGTGGGTTCACACAAAACAGTTTCAGGGGAAGTGGCAGGCCCTTCAGGCAGCTTCTAGCCTGGGAATCCTCTGAAAAAGAAGATACATGAAGGAGGCTGCAGGAATTTATCAGGTGATGCTATTTGCAGACAACAGTCGGCAGAAAGGTCTTCAGTAAGCCCCAGAAATCCCAGATACAGGATTGAGATTTGCAGGATCTGTTCATCTGCAAGTTGGTATACTGAGCATAGATTTGGTATTCTGACGAGGGAAGACAGGACCATATGACCTAATCCTGCTGCTGGAGAAAGATACATAGCCAAAGGGACAGACTGCCACTGTCCCTAGAGGAAAGAAGTACTTGTGTGTCCCGTATGCTCTGGAGGCTTGCTCAAATAAGTCCCTCCTGTACTGTGGGCAGTCTAAAGGCAGAGGAATGTTACCTTACTAAGAGCTATTTGACTGCTTATTGGGAGTCCTAGAAGCCCTGTGATTTTGATCATAAAATCTGCTTGGACTTTCAGTATTTTAGTTTGTGGTATAGCTGCTGCAAGCTGGCGTTGCTGGCTTGGAGCTGTCAGCACTGTAGCAGACCCTGTTAGATGCTCCCCTGGGGTCCTGCATCGTGAGGCCGCAGGGAGCTGCACAGGGTGCTGACAAGAGATGAAAACAAGCTTGGTCCCCTCACACCTATTTTTTAGTAGGTGTGGCAAAACCAAAAGACTGGATGTGTCATTATTGACAAATCAAGCTTTACGGTCAGAAGAGAGTGGTCTTGGAAATTTCCTGGGCAGATGTACTTACTATATCCTGGGTCTGGTTTAGAAACAATGCAAAGAGTGAACTTTGATCTATGGGTTTTATTTCTCTGATCTTCATCTCCCAGAATGCTGCTCAGCAGCTGTACTCTTTGGAAGAGAAATAGACATTTTCTTTGACTGAAGATGTTTGCAATTATTTTCTGTCTCCACTTGAACTCTTGATATTCATATTTTCAATGCTAATGAGAGTCATGACTATATGCTAAAAAGATTCTCTGTCTCCTAAAACTTCTCTTGCATTAGCCAAAGAAAAAAAAGAGTAATGAACTAATAAAGCTCCCTCTGAATCTTTGACTCATCAAATCACCTAAATTAATCAGTGTTAAAGAAAAGTGTGCGGCTTGGCGTGACCACCCAGGGTGCTCTGTCTGGCTCCATGACTTACATTGCTTTGTCCGGGTATCACATCGTGCATATAGTGCAGGATTATGCTCTGTCCTCAGGTCCCTGCCATACTTATGGTATGTAATCAGTCTGAATTTGGGCTGAACGTCAGCTAGAGCAGAAAACTATTTCCAAGCAACTGTAGGTTTAATTTAGATCTTTTAGGACCAAATTTTTATCACCAATATAAATCCACTGAAGGAAAGAGTTTATTTAGATGCACACCTGTTGAAACTAGAACTTAGATGTAAATGTTGTCTTCAAGCAGTATCCCAGGCCCTGCCTGTGTGACCTTCCATGTCACATACATGCTTTTGGTGACAGACTTAATAGTTGTAGCTGTATGTGGAGTAGGCAGGAATGAAAATAATGGCTCACTTCATGGTGTTCTCAGTAGAAACACTGCAAGCAATGGGGACTAGCATTTGGGGGACACTGGCCCTTAAGTTTGGGTTCCTCCCTTCCCCCGGCCGTGCCACTGAATTGCCGAAAAATCCTGTGCAAATCACTCACCTTCTCTGGAGGTTCAGTTTTGCTTTTGTAAAGCAGGAACAATGATTCTTTTCAGCTGTGCCTCCACAGCAGTGATTGAGCAGGGCTAACAAGCAGTAATGCAGTCTTCTGGGAGCGGCAGCGCTGAACCTACTCTTGCAAGTGTTTTGTACTAGGCGAAGAATGGATCCTTAAAGTATTTAATCAACAATCTCTGTGTATACCTATCCCCATTTCTGCATTAAATACTATTAGTGAGTTAGGGCTTTATTATGTCTTTTCCTCTTTTGTTTATCTCATATTCTCATCAACAGGAGCTTTGCTTTAGACCATGGTAAATCTTTTTGACTGTGCTTTTACTGGCTATAGTTGTTAGGAAATCTTGTGCATACTTTTTATTATTTTTTTTTTTTTAATAGTGGCACCATTCTCCCTTTCTGAACTATCCTGACTTTTTAAAAGGGAAGCAATAATGAATTTCCATATGGGCTATACCTTGTAAAAAGATTATCTCCATTTATTCTTTGTAGAAAGTTTTCAGAAGGGAAGACACTGTCCCAATGCACAGAAGCAATTTTTCTTTTCAGTGGATCCTGTGACTCAAATCTAAACCTTTGCTCTCAGAGGAACACTTTTCAAATGTTTACTTACTCCTTGATTCCTGATAGGCAGTCTGGAAAAAAACAGATGAGGTGTTATTCCTGAAAGTTATACTGCTTTATGTTGTTTGAAAGGCAGAGATTGAACTGATTTGTCTAGCAGCTTGCCTTTTCTCAGCTGGGGGAGAGAGGTCCTTTGTAGCTCAGGCTTTTATCAACAGTCCAGTAAAAGTGTTTTTTATATATACATTAAAAAATCATACAACATTTATATAAAACCCTTTATCTTGATGCCTCTGAAATTTATGAAGTAATTTGTCAACTACATTCGTCAAAAGTTATCTCTTACTCCAGCACAAAAATGGAGATATTTCTATGCTGGGTGAAATTACTCTTGTTACTAATAGCTTTTGAAAGTAACTACCAGATTTGTAATGTATGCATTACAAAATTTTAATCTAAGAAATTTAGAAACTTTTTCCTGGTCATCTGAGGGGATTTCATTAAATATGAAGCCACCTTCTTGTTTGAGTGAGGGGGGACACTGATGCACAAGGTGTGTTGAGCAGGAGAGGATCAGCACTGTGTATGCACTGTGGGTAACTGGGGGAAAAAAAGGTAAATAATCTAACACTGAAGACAAAACCAGGGTCTTAGAGGGAATCCCTTCTGCCAGTCACTTGGTGACAAATTCATGTTCTGTGGCACAGCTGGAACAGATTGTTTCATATGGGCAAAACCTGCATAAACTGATGGGATGCGGGCTTCTCTTTGGTACCCCTGTAGCCAAACCTGGCTTCAAAAGATGCGTCTGTCCAAGAAGGGGCTGTCTTCCCAGGGCTTGTAATATTCCAATTTGCTCTTTACCTCACTGGTAACACCATGACCTTCCATAGCCAGTGTTTCGGTAATAAAAGCCTTATATATGAGCAGCATTTAGCTCTTCTGCAGGGGATCTGCATGCACGTCCCACATACATGCATACTCTGCATCTGTAAGGCTTAATCAGAGGATGTTCTTGGCTCCTGAACCTTTCCCTGTGCAAGTCATTGGCTACCTTGTGAACAAACATGTTGCAAGGTGACCAAGGGTGTCATGATGGGATCCATAGCATGAGTGTGTTAATGGAGTCAAGTGCTGTTTATTGGCTCCAGTGTATTTCACTGCACCCTTGGCTCATTCATGCTTCCTGTATGAAACTTGGCTGAAGGAGTCAGAACTGCAAGACATCATCCCAAATTCCATCTGGGATGCGTAACTTGGCTACATGACACTCTTCCCTCTTTGCCCCCCTTATCCACTTCCCATGTTAAATAGTTTCTCAAGACTCAAAAGGGAAAGGGGAGATAATCTCTAGGCCAGTGATTCTGATAAGTAGAAAAATTGCATAAATAAATAAGCCGTGATTAATAGTAAGAAATAGTCACCGGTATCACTTGGCTGGAAGTTGTAGCTTGCTGAAATGACAGTCCTTGTCTTGCTGCTGGGGGGTTGGGTTGCAGAGGGTGAATGCTGGGGGTAGGGCTTTATTTTACACATATTTTCAAAGTGAAAAAAAAAGAAGTGTGATTTATTTTCTTTTGCTGCAGCCTGCTCCCAATTTTCAGTTTACATTAATAGCTGTGGGAACAGCAGTTCTTATTGCCATATACTTTAGCTATTAACACTGTGTCTGGTTTGACAGTACATCTCTCAATTATTTTTCATTCCCTTGTGATCATGAAATATGTATCAGCCTTCCTTGTTAATCTCCTTCGGCATGTCCAGCTAGTTAATTTGTGTCTTTCCTCCTTTAGAATTGGATTTTTCTAACATCATATACTTAATCAGAAGAAGAAAACCAACTTTCTATTAAAGCATCTTCTTTTTTTTTTAAATTAGAAATTTGTTTGAATTCATATTTAATGGACTGATTTCTCCAGGACCCCCTAACATCTTTCTATCCCAAATGTTTGCTTCATTGATATTTTAATTGCTATAATAATCAGCATTCTGAATAAGAGGTCTTTCCCCTAGCTAAGTAAATCCATACTGGCTGAGTAAAGCATGGCTGTGATTTATGTGCAGATAAACAGCTTTGGATCCTATCCAATCCCTTCATCAGTTTTAATTCAGCTGCCTAATCAGTAGCAAACAGGAGAGTTGTTTTTTGTTGGGTTTTTTTGCTTTGTTTGTTTTGTTTTTAACAGAGTGGGGAGTGTCAATACAGGGTTTGGCATGTTCCCCAGAATGGTAGCGATAGCTCCCCACTTCTCATCATGTTCGTGTCAAAGTCAGTTCTAACTTTCTGAAAGAGTTTATACGAAGGGGATGAGATGCCAAGACCTGCCTTTGGGCTCTCTTCGGTATCTAAGGAACCATACAGATATGCAGTCTGAACAAGAGTCTGCTCTTATGTTTTATGAAGGACATCCTTCCAATGCCTGAGAAAAGTGGAAGGGCTCATATAGAAGCAAATTGTATTTCCTGTGTGTTTCTAGGGGTTGATGCCTTTGAAATTATTTTCAGAGCAATCATGTAGCTGCTGTTGCTGTTTCTAATAGACAAAAAGACTGACAGAGTCCAGGAGGGCGAGGTGACTGCTGCCTGTGGGGTGCAGCCGTGTAGGGGTAGATCTCTCGCTGTGCAGCCCCCTCTTACCTTTGTGACTCCAGCCTGTAGTTTGCTGTTATGTGTCAGCTATGTGCACAGTACTATAAAGGCCAGGATGGTGCAGATGACCCCAGACTGAGGCTCTTCTAACTTAAGGCCCATGACCACAGCCCCTGACCTCATTTTTGTCTACAATAACCCAAGCAAATGCCTGTTAAGGTTAAAACATTAGACCATTTACCTTATTATCTGTTAGCGCCATGTGTCCAGAGGTGAAGTGTTCTCTGATTTATAAGCAGCCTCTAAAGGATTATGAAGAACAGCCCCATTTTGGTCATCAGATCTAGGGCAAGCAATACCATCTGTAATAATAAAGCTTACCTAAAGAGCTTAGCACTGTTTTGAGCAGTAAACCATGGCTGTGGACCTCTGAACCTTGTCAGCTGTCCTGGCTGTCCTTCATTTCAGTGTGTAACTGTGCCTGGCCACTTCCTTTATACTGGGAGACTGCAAGAGATATTAGTAGCTGTTCTTCTGTATCTATTTTTTTTTCTGTTTCATTGCAGCCCTTGCTATGCAAGCAAGCAGCAGGCTTGGGCAAGCTCTGCTGTGCTGGGTGGCCAGCACTGGACTGTTGAGGAGACAGGTTAATTGGGAAGGAGAGAACATTTGCATTGTTACTGTATCTTCTTGGGGGTTTACTTCATAACCCAGACGACACATACCACGTTTTCCATGTCAGGTTAAAACTCCACAGCTCTGTGTTTCACTATTACCAAGAAGAGTCCCAACCAGAGCTGCTGAATTCAAGCTTTTTGGCTCAACCTTAATTCCTTGCACACACCCATAGCTGTAGGGGCTTTAAATAGTGCTTTGAATCATTATGATATTCAGAGAATTAGGCTGGGCTGGAGGGAAGGGCAGTAGGTTGGGTTTGTGGCATTTTGGGATCAGTTTGCAATACAGATGTGCATGTCCTGAGCGACCTTGGGTGAGGTGTCTAACCCATCTGCTGTGTTGGGCTTTTTTATACCTTGGAAAAGGGCAATAACATCTCCCTGCCTTGGACTGGGGACGAGGAGAGGCTAAAACCCATTAATAAAGAGAAGACATTCACATCCTATGGTGATTCTGGTACAGCTCCACCTGCACTATGGCGGTCACAGGGGTTTTCATCTGCAGTTCGTGAAGATTTTTCAAAAGTGGTTGTGAGCATTTTTGTACTCTCCTTGTGCATGCTCAGAGCAAGACAATGTGTCTTGCCCAGGGATGGGGGAGCAGTCAGTGCGAAGGTGGCAGTCATGCCCCTGCCAGCAGATCTCTCTGAGCAGACCTCAGCTGGGAGCTGTGGAGGTGCAAGTGTAACCTTGGGGAGAGTGGAGGTGCCTGCTTGCTTCTGCTCCACAGAGGCTGTGAGCTAGATGGTGTGCTAGGTGTTGCCTGTAGTCCCACAAGCTCTTCGTGTCGGGATAAACAGTTTGTTCTTTTAATTTGGGAATTCCCTGCTTTGGCTAAGATAGCACAGATTTGGAAGCATGTGTGGAGGTGGAAGTTTGACCATTATGCTATGCTACTTACATTACCCTGCTTCTTTTTAAATTGATGGCAGCACTGTGGAGGGACTAGCGAGCTTGGGATTTTCTTGGCTTTGATTGAGCACAGTCTACAGGTCTATTTTTTTTTTACCTCAACAGGAGCTCTCAACGTCCCATTCCTGTTAAAACAAATGTGAAATGAACTTCCAAAATTCTGAAAGATGAAGACTATCCCATCTGTCTATGCTGCTTTAATAGAGAGATAGGAAAGGTTTCATCCTGTAACCTGAGAGAGAATTAAACATCTGAGGAGTAATTTCGGGAGAAGGCTCAGTTTCTTGCAGATCAAAGGGTGAGTTTCAGGAATCCTCTGTTCTCTGGCCAGAAGGGGGCTATTATGTTTAGAGAGTTAGGCAGTTTGCAGACAAGAAGTCCTTCTGGTGATCAAACCGGAGAGTTTGTGCTGACCAGTGGCTTACTTTTTAGAAAAGACTACCAGTCCTGGAGGTTTGAGCTATCAGATGTGTTGTATTTTCTTACAACCTGGTATGCTGAGCTCTGAACTGCCTCCTGGGATATCGGCAAAAATGCATTTCTGCTCTTAACCATTTTAAAGAGCAAGAGTCAACTGGCAGTGAAGGCTGAGTCCTTTTGTGGGGTGCTCTGTCCTTGGGTTTTCCATCTTCATGATTCAGCCCTGGCAGAACAGCTGCAGAAATTTTCACATCTTTGTCCTTTTCCCATGATTTCTTCCACAACAGAAGACTGATAGGGGAAGAAAGGAAATGTGAGAGTTCATATGCATGTGAGTCTTAAAATGTTGAAAGAAGGGACTGTGAGACCATTTTCAGGGTTATGGAAATGTGATGAATGATGCTTCTTCTAGAAAACAATTACTTCAGTCCTCTCAGTGAACTGAGTGACTGGTTCCTCTGTTGCTGCAGCTTGCTTTTTTTCAGATGTTGCAGTATTTATTATGACCTTTTCTTCTTATTTTTACTTTCCTTTTCCTATTTTTCCCCTTTCCCTTGTCCCCTTTCTATCTCTTTATTTTCCTTATTAACACAATTTAGAAGCTAGCGTTCAAGGAAGAATTACCAGGGTGGTGAGAGGTCTGCCTATGATTTAAGTCTGATGGCTGGTCCCTGAGTGCAGCACCTTAACCCACAGGAGCCCTTTGGCATGATACAGGGCTTTGACAGACCGGAAAAAAACATTTGTCTTTTTAGTATCTCTATTCCTTGTCTGTGATGTAGAGTTAACAGCATGTGCTCCTTCTCAGGAGTGTGGTGAGGAAAAAACCATCTGGTTTGTGAATGCTCAGCCATTGCTCTAATGGAAGCCATGTAAATAACTAGATAAATAATTTCAGTGAGATCGGCTGTTGAGCATAATAGGTAGCAGGGTCAGAACCTCTTCATAGTGAGTCATTTCTTACTGGCTGAGTGGGATTTATGCTCACAAACCACTGTGCAGAAGCATCCTCTGATTTTTGCTGTTTCTGTCCTTTCCCTGCCTGCACTTCTAGCTCCTTGGTATCTTGCTGGTAAGCTCCAGGGCGCAGGGACTACCACAGCCAGTGTCTGCACTGTGCTGAGGCACAGGGTAGGTTTTGGTGTGATGCTGTAATACAAAATTAAAGGATAAATCATTAGGGGGAAAAAAAAAAACCTAAAATTTGTTATAATTTATAATATTTTTTTCTCTATGTTCATCAGATTGTGGTGGAATTGGAGATTTTGGGCAAGACAAAATAGTGAAAATGATGAAAATAACCTTTGAGGTGTGGGTTTCTTCATCATGTCTGTTAATTCTGTGTTTTGCTTGGGATCAGTACCGTTTGTCTTTCAAAGAAGGGGAAATATGGGCTCGCAGCTGTCATGCTA